AGAACTGGCATCCGCAGATTTTAGCAAGCTGTACGAAATATGGAAAAATCAAACTATAGGAACTAATACAAAGATTGCTGTCCTAAAAGCAGCCGCAGTAGCGGTGCTCACGTATAGTTTCCAAGCATCTCCTGTACTGAAACCTCACGAAGCTCACCTCAACAGCTTCCAACAACGCTGCCTGGTCAGGTTATCTAAAACACGAAGGTAACACCGACCGGATTACAAACGAGGAGGAACTACGACCACTAGTCTTAGAAAATCTTCAGCTGAACTCAGAGATAGAAACCTGCTTGGTTTGATAGGAAGGCCAAACTGAATGGAAATATGCCCGGGTAAGAACCGTCTTCGGCAGACGCGCTGCAGGACAGTATTAAACCAGGAAACGTCTTTTGAGGTACAATTGCCTGCGACGAGGGATACCGCACGTTGCCTAATATCAATATTAAACACCATTTCTAAGGGGCCGGCAACAAACATGGGTCACTCTGCCGTATAAGCTCTGCTAGCTCTAGATGACGATCACAATATAATTACACGTAACAACTATCAGAACACCTGTGCTGGTAAAATTCTACATGTAAATCTGCAAATTCTGGTAAAGAAAGAGTCAAGATGGCCTTAAAATTCAAACCGTCCCAATATTTTTAAGTCTTTACACTGACCGTAAACCGATCTTGGTTTGAAACGGACCAAACATTGCTAAAATTAGAAATCGTCTCCACCTGCAGAAGATTCGAATTTTTTTAAAATGTGACATGAGCGTAAGTGCAAACGGACATTATGCGAGAATCAATGGATCATAACCTCCGTTCTGGACTTTAATAAACCTAATCGTACTCTTGCACACTGAAAATAAAATGAGCTTAGGATCTAAATGTTTCAAATGATCGAAATGCTTGGCTTGGAAATGATACAGCAAGAGATCATTCAATTACGACGTAAGCAGGTGACTGGAAAAGTATGAAATGAGTCCGTAACAAAGAAGAGAAACAAACCACACTGCACCATTACATATGAAAATCGAAGTAAACGAAAAATACCATAGCTATAAAACGGCCGATAAACGTAAAATATTTCAAGTGATCAGGGTTGACAAACGACGCTGGGTTGATCTGGAGACTGTACTTGTTTTTACCGGCGTATTCAAACAAGCAATACATGGGATTAAGAACGTCGTGACTCAAAAGGAAAAACCATTCCCTGAAAAAGCATTTCCATTACAAAACATAAACGACAACTGCCAACCTTTAATCAAGGTAAACGATAATCACCTTGCGAGCCCACCATAATCCAAGCCCTCTTCACCCCTGAATTGGATGTACAAACGACGTCGGAGGTCGATAGGATTTTTGCGCATGATTTCGGCAAACGAATCTTCAAAGAGGTTTGACCGCGAAATGACAATCTTCACGTGATTTGGCATACTATTTGACTAAAAGTGTTAAATGCAATGTTCATGAATCACAAACCCTATAACGCTGTAGTGGTACCAAGCAGAGATACTTGAACTGGCTGATCTTCCAACTAAAGCTGTTAACGGATTTGCCAAATAATGAAAGAGTTCTTAAAAGTAAACCTGTCACATACAGTAAAATGGTGATTATTAAATAAAGGGGCGCATTACTCAAGCGGTTTTCCCGTTCTAGGATCATTATACGTCGTCATTCTGGTGTTATGGTCAATAAAAAATGGCAAACCATCTTCGGTCAAACCAATTTCCCATCCGGTCGGCAATGGTTGTTCCATTATACCAGGAACGCTAAAGAGCAGCAATGTTTGTGATGCCATTCACTTGCCATAAAAATTCGAAGTACCTAGGTAGCAGTGGGTGCTCCCACTGCGTAGTGCGGTTTATGTGATTGACGTAGTAAACTCTACCGCTGACAGGATCAATGCGTTTCTCTAAATGGGTAAACAATGCATTAAACATGGTTAAAGCCTATTTCATAAGATGTTATTAAAACAGAATACTACAGAGCGATGACTCAACAAAGACATCGTGCAATTGACAAGACAACGCTGGTTCTCTCCTGAATGTCACGTACAGCTGCAACTAGCCACTGAAAATACCACTGTTGTACCTGCTGCTTAACAGTCACCGGCTTACTTTAGAGCTAATCGCTTATCACTAAACTGAGATGAATGTCGATTCAGATATAGACGAGATTAACACTGCTTTTTACGGTTCTCTCCTTTGGCCGCAACGTTACCCAAACTACAAATTCGTCTGGGAAACTCGTAAGAAAAAACACGGTTTCATAGTTCAAAGTACTGAACTCTACCACTTCCGGCTTTTTTATCGTGCCTGATATCTGAATTAGATAGGCGTCGACGAGTGTAAAAAGGACGCTCCAAAGCGGTAAAGGATAGAAAGTCCAGTTTGCAGTCAAAAGACACACGAACTACCAACTATTGCAGGAAGACGCGTGGGACGAGATTCGCACACTGAACTGAAGAACGATTAAACAACAGGACGCTATGTTATAAGGAGGATATGAAGTATGAATCTGCGTGTATAGCGGAAAACTTGGTCGAGGATAACGGAATGCACGAAGTAGATCGTTCAGCGTGCCCAGTTTAAATGAAATAAGACATAAATATTTCCAACCAAAAAACCAGATTATTTTGTCTACAAAGTACATTACTATGTGCCGTACAAACCATCTGGAATGGGAAGAAGCATGAAGACTAAAAAATGCTTTTCCCACAAAGACAATATATTTATTTCAAAGTATAACATCCCTGACCAACCGCAGAAAACATAAATGACAGTGCCATATCATAAGCTCCATGAAGGAAGAACACTATAAACGAGAACTTCAGTAAATGAAGTTCTACGTCGCCAGCTGTAGCCAACTTTCTGTTTTCTGTTTCTAACACTGC